GCCCTACCAGGTCTCCCACACCCACCTCCCCACCAATTTGGATCGCTTGTTGTTCCCTTGTCCCTGGGTTTGTTATCCCCTCTTTTTCCCTTCCCCCCTCCCCCTCTCCCATGTCCCCCCGGAACTGGGGAGACATCTTTTAAAGACATGTTGCATGTAGTTTTCTTCTTCTCAGAAAATGTAGAGCACGGCTTAACCCTTTCTTGATGGTGCAGAATGATCATTTGACCTTAGAGGCCCCAGAGTAGCACACCGTGTGTCCTCGCATTTCAGTGGTTCTCCACCCCAGGCTTCCTCAGCCCTTGCTGTGGACTCCAGTCTCCTGTTTCTGTCCAAGTGCTTGCACCTAGTGGTTTTCTCTGACTTCTCCCAGTGACAAGTGATAAGTCAGACAGTTCCTCTGTTCACAGTGGCCTCCAATGAAATTGGACGGAGACTTGACCTGCTAACATGTTCTGTGTCATCTCTTCTAGTCGCCCGAGGAGCGTTTCCTCTGCTCTGCTTCCATTTTTGTACATTTTCTTTCATTGGTTCAACAGACACTGTTCTCATCTCTTCCACAAAGAAGGGTCAGTTCCTCACCGAGTCTTTCAACAACTTAAAGATCTCAAACATGTTCTTTTCTCACTTTTGTTCATATTGGAAAATAATTTGAAAATCTATATATTCCCACGCACATTTTAAGTTGACATTAAGATTATTTTCTTAGATTGAACAATTGAATTATGTGGATTGTGTGTCAATAAAATGTTAAACAAAATGTGATTTTTTGTGATTAAAAAGTTATTTTCTCAATAAGTTACATATAGTTGTGAGAGGAGTCATTTCCAGAAAATTGTGAATATTGACATTTAAAAATAAAAATTATATGGTACTTTAAGGTACAAATATTTTTTTTAAAGAAAAGAAAAATATCAGTGTTTCAATACCCTATTATCTGTTTAAAAAATGCTCACGCTCGTCTTTATTAATCAGACATTTAACGTAATTTCTTTGTCCCCTTGAATTTTTGTCATTTTTTAATTTCCACTGCCATTCTGGAGTTTTAGCTTAATGTGATACAATTTATGCTTAGAAGGCATACACTTCTCATAAACAAAAATGGGTATATTGATATTTTGATTTGGGGTGGTGGCTGTCTAAGGTTTTAAATGCCACCATTTCTTTGGATTTTCTGTTAGTAGTTTTGATTTGATCAAGACAACACGTGTGTGGATTTTGGTAAAAATTACATGACCACCAAATTTAAATGGCGAAGTTCTGTTGGCAATGCTTCAGTGAATGAGATGGATAGAGCCATTTCAATGGTCGTTTTCAGACATCCCAGGCTAACCCTGGCTGCGGGCAACCTGTGACAGGCTCTGCAGCAGTCCTCGTCACATCCTCTTGTTGGTCTACACGCAAGTGGCCAGACACCTAAGTAGATGCAGGAAAAGGAGGAGGAGCGTGTCATCACTCAAATCTCTGGGAGCCTTAGGAACTCTGCTATGTACTTGAGTATAAGCTGACCCGAATATCAGCGGAGACACCTAATTTTACCACAAAACCTGCATTAAAAATGTTTTAAAATACTCAGTTTCTACACGAGTATATACAGTACACGCCCCAAAGTGATGATATAAAGATTTATCATAAAATAACTTTGAACGGCCTGTCAGAGAGCAACTTGATTAGGTCTCTCTTCAGTTTGTTTGCGCACGAGTTATTGGGAATCTCAGGGTTTGCAAAAAGGCTGTCACCAGTCTGAGTGTCACCGATGCGTTGTTACTGGTCTCTGGGAAGTCCTCCTGTGGGCAGAGTACTAGAGCTGGCTCCAGAGAGGGAGGAAGGCTCTTCCGCTGTCAAGTGAGAGCAGGAAGCTTGGGGAAGCAGAGGAGGCCGGCTCGCCGCTCTCCAGCCGGTCAGTGACGTTGGTGGTGATCTTTCCTCATGTTTCTCAAAGTCCAGGCTCTCTTAAGTCTTCACTTGGCCCAATTAGAAGACCGCTATTCCAACAACTTTAATCATAGACCTTTTTAATTGTGGCTTATTCAAATGTATGAACTTGTACCGATGACTAATTTCTTTTCCTGTTTTCTTTAGATATCTCACAGTGATACGCCTTCACCACCACCCGGTTTATCAAAATCCAACCCTGTCATGCCCATCAGCTCATCCAATCACAGCGCACGGTCTCCTTTTGAAGGGGCAGTAACAGAGTCACAGTCTTTATTCTCAGACAACTTTCGCCACCCCAACCCTATCCCCAGTGGGCTTCCTCCTTTCCCCAGCTCCCCACAGACGTCCAGTGACTGGCCGACAGCACCTGAACCACAGAGCCTCTTCACGTCAGGTATGGCCGGGCTGCAGGCGCACATCTCTCCTCACAGCTGCCTTGCAGGTGGCCCCAGGCCCTCTGTTGGGTGTCTGTTTAACCTTTTCTCCCCGTCCCTTCTGCATAGAACAGCAGCTTTTCAGACTGCATGGAGTTGGCAGCTAGGTAGATTACAGTCACTGATGCACTGTCATTGAGTCAGTTGGGACTCATAGCGACCCTGTAGGACAGAGTAGAACTTCTTGTATGGATTTCCGAGACTGCAAATCCTTACAGAGTAGGCAGCCTCATCTGTTCTTCTGTGAAGCGGGACTGGTGGTTTTGAACTACTGACCTTGTGGTTAGCAGCCCAATCAAGGCGTAGCCTACTATACCCTATTGTATAAATTGCAGTAGGGCCCAGAAATTACTGTTAAAAGACCTACTTCTCCAGAAACCAAGGACTATAGCCTCATTTACCTCCAAATAAGAGCGTTCTTTTCTAGGAAGTACTGGGCACTTAGATTTTTAAGCAGGTTCTTACTTGCTTACTTAAAGTTAAGGAGCTCCCTCCACCACAACTGATAGAGAAGTAAATGGTTTTATAATACAAGGTGTGTTTTAGTATATTTGAACCATTTCTATTTTTGTTATTCATTGTTTTCTTATTTATATAAAAGATTGCAATGATAAAGTAACATTGCATTAATGAGCACCTCAGGAGAAAAGCAGTGATTAATAGACATTGTTCCACTAAATCATGACTTTTTTTTCTTATATATTTAGAATTATTCATACTTGGTGCTTGATGGGGAACATTTTAAAAATAAACTTTGCTCATTGACTTGATGACTGAGAGTGAGAGATTTTTATATACTGGTAGCACTACTATATTTTATCTAAATGACATGGTTTAGGTTTCAATTACAAATGACTGAGCGTATAGTTTTGCCTGATTGGCAAAAATTAATGGAATTCAGCTTTTGGAATTAGGAGATTAAGCAATGTATCATAAGCAAGAGCAAGTGAATGAGGAATTTAAAAATGGCTAGCAGGCCCTGATGCCGTGTTGTAATGATTTACGGGCACTGCTGCAAAACCACGCAGCTTTTGCAGGGTTTGGTCCCATCTTGAGTGTGACCGTTGACTCTCAGTCGTGTGGGTGCTTGCTCAGTGTGAAGTAGAGAGTTGATCTTGGGGTAACCACATGTTTCCTCCCCACAGAAACAATCCCAGTGTCGTCCTCTACAGACTGGCAAGCAGCTTTTGGCTTTGGTTCTTCTAAACAACCGGAGGATGACTTGGGATTTGATCCCTTTGATGTCACTCGCAAAGCCTTAGCAGACCTGATTGAGAAAGAACTCTCCGTTCAAGACCAACCTTCACTTTCACCCACCTCCCTCCAGAACTCCTCACACACTACAGCCGCCAAAAGTCCAGGCTCTGGCTTCCTGCATCCTGCTGCATCCGCAAATGCCAACTCTCTCAACAGTACCTTCTCAGTCTTGCCGCAGAGGTTCCCTCAGTTCCAGCAGCACCGAGCCGTTTACAATTCCTTCAGTTTCCCAGGCCAGGCCGCCCGCTATCCTTGGATGGCCTTTCCACGCAATAGCATCATGCACTTGAACCACACAGCAAACCCCACCTCAAATAGCAATTTCTTGGACTTGAATCTCCCGCCACAGCACAACACAGGTCTGGGAGGGATCCCTATAGCAGGTAGGTTCCTTTAAAGCCTTCAAGAATCTGTGCATCACTCTTACCTTGGGCTGGTGGGTGGGTGGCATGAAGGCAGAAGGGAGGGAGCTATTGAATAACAATTAGAGTACTTCTTCTTAGTTTCTGAAATTTTTATGGGGGAGGGAGAAAGATCTTTATCATAATCTAAATTTTTAAAAAGCAAATGGATGCCTTGTAATATTGAGCTTTATAAGGATGGTGGAGTATCATACCTCATTATTGTTTGGGAGCATTTGACTCAATAGGACAGTTACCAACTGCTCAAATGTTATTTAAAATTCAAAACAGGAAAAAAAAAAAGGGCTCTAAAATGATGGTGCTGTAAATACAGCTCAGCCCCCTGATAACAACTCTGAGATTGCATTCTGAAAGCAAAGTGTCTCTAAAAAAGAAGTCCTAACATGGTAACTAGTGTGACGGATACAGCCATTCCAACTACTCTCAGCAATTACTAACCATGTCTGCTACACATTCGCACACATACACCTATACCTCCAACTGTGTGACTCGTGAACATGTAGTAGTATTTGAGCACTTGTACTGTGAGTTTTATACAGACATATCACACATGCACACATAGACTTTCTGTGTAGAAGAAATTTAAGGAGCACTCTTTGCATTCTTGGTCTGTCATGTTTTTATTTGGGGGAGGAGAAATTTTAGAGTCCTGTAGGTTTGATATCCTAGTACTTCTGGTTCAGTAATTGCTATCCATGAAGGTTTCAGAGCTTTGGATTTTGAGAACCCATAATCTATAGCTAAGGAAATCTTCAGCTTCCTAGTGACTTCACCTTTCGAAGCGTCTGCTGGGGGCGAGTGTTTCTTTTTCTCCTGATTTTCTCCGGTTGAGGAGAGTAGCCCCTCACTCTCCGGCATAGTCCATCTCTGTATCTTGCCAGAGCCTTGTAAGTGTGGCAAGGCGCAGGGTGACGTGGTAATGTGTTAGTACAGCAAGTCGCTTGATTGGTTGCTTGCTTTCATAAGTAGGTGGATGAATAGATGCCGAGACCCCCCAGACTCCCTTGACTTTACTCCCCGTGTGACCCACAGCATTGTATTTGCAAGGAAGTTGAGTGTCGTGGCTATTGGTGCCTAACAGTTGACAAGAGAAAGTTCATTTTCACAAATGTAACAGCACTGAACTGTGGTGATCTGCGCTTTGGGACTGACAGTGTCTGTTCACGTGGTGACATTCGTTGGCACCCAATCCAGACTGGCATTGACCATTCCTCTCCTATGTTGGATTTACTTCCTGAGTTTTCAGTGCCTGGCCTCCTTGTCTTCTTCCAATCAAGGCAGCATCTTAGAGTACAGTCTTTTGTTTCAATCATTTACATACATGGTATTTTAATGGCAACATTAAAAAGTTACAGTGCAGTTCCCCTAAATAGTTTAAATATTAAAAATAAAGTACTAAATCAATTAAAGTGAATATTTGGGTCCCTATCTGACCAACATTGAACTAGGCCTTGTGAGAAATACAAAGTAGGCATACTTTTTCCAGGAACGTTACAGTGCACTTGAAGAGAGAAAATTTGAAGCCTATGCGGAAGTGGTCATTGGGACACCAAGCCACAGGGATGTCATTGTGCCTTTGGTTGTTGGGGAAGCTTTGTTGAGGAGGCAGGGGTTGGTCTGGGCTGTGTTAATGTGGATTTAGGTTGGCAGCGAGAGGAGAAAGCCCTTGTATGTTGATGGAAACCTGCTGAGTGTAGGCATAGAGGCAGAAGGGAGTGTGTCATTGCTTTGGGCTAAGTAGCAGGCCAGTCCTCTCTGACAGGGCCCTCTTCTTAGCATGGTGTGAAGAATGGAGGAGAAGGTGGCTGGACCTCTGGCCAACAGAATCGCATGAGGGGCAGGATGCCATGTGCAATGCCAGCTCTCAGCTGTCTTCATGTCTCGCTTTTATGTGGTTTATTACACAACCACTTTGGTTAAAGTGTCTCTTCTTCCACTCTCAAAGCCATCAAACTGTCCAGTAGCACCAAAGAACAGTTTCAACCCAAGGATTTAAGCCAGCGTGGAGATGGCCCAGTGTGTTGAGGAATCACTGATGGGTGGATGTGGTTACCCTCCTGTTTGCTATTTGAAACCTTCACCCAAAGTAGGAGACGGTGTGACACTGAATATGATCCTGTCTTTGTGGTTCCTCTTACTTTCCCTTACACACATACTGAACCGTGGAGAATTAATTACCCACCTCCCTGTGAAATTCTAGGGATTGAGTCACCGCCTTTAGATTCTGAATCTTTAGTGGGGGAGGTGGAGGGAGCCTTGTTTGGGCTATACATAATTTGCTTAGTATTTAAATGGTGTCTGTGGTTAAGCTGATTATTAAATTCTATATAAATAGAAAAATACTAGTTTTATTGTACCAAAATGGTTGAAATTATTACACCAGATTCTCTTTTGTAGCTTATAAATATTTAGCAGGGACCTCAGGGGACTGAATATTTCATTGAATAATTTTGGCCAGATGATCTAGGATATTAATAACATTTAGAAATGACAGAGTGAAAGTTGGAAAATGATGGACATCTTAGCACTGTCTCATTTGAAGCAGTTTTAACACCTCGCGAATGGCCCCAGCTAGAAATAAGTTGTACTTGCACTGGACTATTGCAAGGGTTCGCCTCGTATCTTCCTGTGGCTCCCAAGGGTAGTTGGTCAGGAAATGTGCCAGCGTGTGTATCATCTCGGGGAGACCTGCTGCTTTAGGGTATGCTTCCACTCTGCCCACACCCAAGCCCTCCAGCCACCACAGCAGACACGCTCCCTGTCGGAGTTGGTTCTGCCATGCAGTGACCCTGGCCGGGTTTGGACTTCTTCACCAGGGCAGGTCGCTGCTTCTTTCTCAGAGCAGCTGTCCGCCTCACAGCTGACTACCCGTTTAGTCCTGAGACATGCTCTGCAAAACTGAGTCCCTTTCGAGGTGGTGGCACCTACATATGCAGATGACGTTTCTGTCTGTTACGCATTTGCATTTAAAATTTATTTGGGGTTTGTTTCAGTTAATTCTTAAAGGTTAAGATAACTGAAACCAGAGGTTTGGCCAGAAATGTGACATCGATTTCATCCTCGCATAATTGGAAGCGTTTTTCTTACTGAGTGGCTTCCTTAGTGGGGTAAGGAAGCCACATTTGGGGGGGCAGCATGTCCAGTTTGCTTAGAGTGTAGAAGGATTTTTGAAAGAATTCTTGTGGGGACACTTCAGCATCCACTTCAGTGTTCTTTATTGGAACCACGTGCCTCTGTTTTAAACCATGGCTTCTCTTTTCCCTTGAAATGACCTGTCAGTGCAGCTCTTTCATCGGAGGAGGGGCATACCTCTGGCCCAGAAGTGAGATAGCGTGTTGAGGGCACGTAGATACTCAGATGGGAATAGTTTCCCACTGATGTCATAGAGGCCCTCCTTCCTGAGTAGGTCTGCCGGTGCCTCTTCCTGGCTGTTCTCCAGGCTTGCTCTCATGCCTGCAGGGCCCTTCAGCTCCAGTGCTTCCTCCTGAGTCTGTCTGTGGGCCCAGCCCAGGGCTAAGCCTCTGCAGAGTGAAGATACAGGTGTAAGTCTAAGCATTCTACCACTTAGCCTTCCTCTTTGCCTTGTCTGAAGCAAGCACTCATGCCCCAAGTTTGCTCTGCACAGCTTCTTTGTGGTGGATGTGGGGCGTAAAGAAAACAACCTGTTTGAAGAGGCACAAGACTCCCTGTCGTCACTGTCATTTTTGCAGACATGGTTCCCCAGGAGCTCCCTCTGTAAGATCAGGTCCTTTCGTAATGCTCAAACTCCTCTGAACCCTAACCATGGTGAGTCTAAGCACTGTGGTTTGAGGATGTATTCAGAAAAATACTGGAAACTATTTAGGACAGATTTATTTTTCTCCCTCCTCCAGGTTTTGTTCATTCCAAGTTTAGGCAGGCAAGGCCGTTTTCTTCACACTGTCTTTGTTTCTGGGTTAGTGATATTAACAGTGACTTGATTGTTGAGTCACGCGTGGAAGAGTCTCTTGGTGTGAAACAGTGGCCCATTGTCAGGAGAACTGCGGGGCTCTCCTCTCCTCCCCAACCCGGGCCTCCTCTCGCTCGTCAGTGGACCTGGTGGCGGCGGCTCCGATGCCTTTCCAGTCACTTGAGACGTCTGCACTGAATGATCTGATGCTATGTGTCAACAGGCTAATCTTTAATGTGCAGTGATTTTTTTCATTTTTAATGTACTCGTGTCTGCCTTTTAAAACACTGTTTTGTAAAGTATTTTCCTTTGAAAACTCAGTCACCTTCCATAAATTGAGTTTTAATTTTTCTACAAAATAGAATTCACCATTAAGAACATCTGAATTGTTTGTAAGGGGTCTAGTTGACTTGGGAAAGAAGGGCTTCCCTGGTTTTTTTTGTTGTGATTTCCCCCCACCTCTATCTCCCTCCCTTTGGTATATTTATAATTCATAATCCGTTATATGTATTTGTTCCTATCTCTGGCGTACTATTAAAATGAAGGGTGTGCGTTAGAGTATAACTACTTTCCAGGGACTTGGCTAAGTTTATCTTTTAAGATTGATGTCTTATTTCACACTGGATTCCAACCATTAAGCATGTATTTTATATATGTTATCAGAATTCCAAGCATTGAAGTCATGTTTTAAAGGGACTGTTACCAACTCTAGTCACCCGTAACTGGACCATGACTGACTTTCCACAGGGGAAGAAGAGGTGAAGGTTCCGACCAGGCCACTGTCAGCCTTTTCCCATTCATTACAGCAAGGACAGCAGCCTCCGGGTCTCCACACTACTGTGCCCTGACGACAGGACTGAGGAGAGGATTAGACTCTGGGGTGCTTGCATGGGCAACCGGATGTTTGCATGACTCCTTTCTGATTTTGTCTTTAATGTATATTCACCAAAAGAGCCATTATAAATGTTCCTCTTGCCGACGACTAGTGTGTTACCTGAGCATTGCTCAGTGTTTCTGCACTAGGCCTTTGCCA